TTTTGCATTTTACCTAAGTTTTACGGACTACTACGGTTGTTGATTCAACAACGCCCAAATTCCAATTCCAATTCCAATGCCCGTAATTGGAAATGTTATATGAAAACCTAATGAAGGCCCATAAAGTCACAAAATGAACTATGAAGTCCGATGATATTCAATGAAGTTTAATGAATTTTGTTTAAATGAATTGAAGTTACTAAAGTCATATGCAATCATCATTTAACTTTAACATTAAATTTTTAGTACAAACAAATATAAATTTTAGGTTATTTTAGTTGTACATTCTTTTGAAACGGAGTTGTTTAAAGTAAAGTATACACCTCTGGATTAATGCTCGTCTTAGTCTTGGACTGATTGTATACCTCACTTCTTACAGTTTGTTAGTGACTGAAAATGAGTCAAAACTTTTCTGTTCACGATCTACCCATGTAGGTACCGTTTTATTTTACGGAATCATATTATTCACTGTCATGCTACTTTATCTCTGATAATAACATTTATTTTGCGAATTAAAACTCGGTATAAACAATAAAATAAACCAACACCATTCGAATTTTGAAACTTAACTCTTTAAGCTTGACGTTATCTTTAGTCGACGCCAGGATTTATAGTATTTCATCTGACTTTTTTTGTTAATTAAAAGACTTAATTATATTGGATTTATGCTTTAATATTAAGCATGTTTAAAGTTGAGTGCTTAATAATAGTTAGAATTGGGTATATAACGCTTTTCTTAAAACTAATTAATTAAAATAGTTGTTTGATACATTATAAACACACTGTCAATATATTACATGAGAATCTGTTCTATTTTCGATGAATATAATTGTTAAAATCTACAGATTCTAAGAAATAAACTTTTATTAGATTATTATCTAACGTGATGATATTAATACGCAACTTATTTTTATAGTGTCAAATACCCATAATGATAATAAATATTAATTATAAATTCGCGTTTCAGGTATTTTCCCATATAGCTTAACACTTAGGTATGCACTTTCTTAATGTAGCTAATATTCGAGTGTTTCGTCCGTATTTTAAAACGTTCGAATAAGAATATAATACATTCATTACGTACAGAAATGATAAAAAAATGAATAATCATTAATCGTCACCCGTTTAACTAATAATTTCATTTATTTTATTCTGGTAACACTAATGACAACTGTTTGGTTCGGCTGCGGTTTGGCTACGATTACGTTTCAGTCAAAGAGTAGTATAATATATATAGGGAAAAAGAGAACCCACTCGCAGGTTTCCGTGCCAATCATTTTGAAGCGCCATCTGAATTTCGTCCCCGAAAACTTTGCTATAATATATAGGTATACCTAGATAGATATAATACATAGATATACCTGTCACTTTAAAGGTTTCTTTAGAATAAATAGTATGTATAGAAAACGAAAGAGTTTACATCTGAATTATTTATTAGAACAATAAAGTGCAGTCCAAATCAAACAAAAATTGAGATGAAAACTCAATCGTTTTCTGTACATACTATTTATTTGTAAAAAAGCGAAATCAAAGACATTATTTTCAAAAATTAGTTTATTTTTACTTTACATATTTTTTAAATCACAGGAAACAAAATATCTTGATGGATCTAATGATTTTTAGCTCTTCTCTTTGTAGATAAGCCTCTGTTGAATAGCGTCTTAGAATTTTGATGGCATTATTTGGTAGGACAAATTATAGAGAAAATAGTGAAACAAGTACCACAATTTAATTAATTTTAAATAATATAAAACTACAAGTGCTACAATTTGCCAACAAAAACTATAACTACAAGTCTTGCCAAATTGCAAGCAGATAGTGATTTGAAATTGGTAGCTACCTAATCTTTGATTTCTATAAAAGACTAGTTGCATTGCAGCTATTTTCTATTTCTGTATTTTTTATGTTTGTTATAATATATAGATGCGTTTTTTTTTATTTCTTCCTCACCACAGTATGAAATTTTGCCAGACAAAATCCTATTTACATTTCTGCACCAGCTATATAACAACAATTTTATTGTAATATTGATAAAATAATTTTTTAATTCCTCTTTATGTACTGAACAATTAAAAGGGCATGCAATTAATAAATTACAGAAATCACTTATCGTTTTTCTTATTTTATTTATAACGACATTTTTTTTTAAAAACGATAATGTTATACCCTGAATTTCTTTAAAACAATTTTCAGCATCTTTTGAAGGATATATAAGCCAATTTTTTCCCTTATATTCTTTGGATCTTGTATAAGATGTTTTTGGTGGCTCTGAAAGAAGCAATGTCTGTCTGCATTGCTGACACGACTTACAAATTTTTTTTAAACATTTGGTAATTACCCAACCGCATACATAATTACTTTGTCCAGCATCTTCAATGGGATTATACTCTTGTAGTAACTCTTCATTAAAAATAATTTCGGATTGTGAATTAGGTGCCAGATCTGACTGAAAATGTGTTTCTGCATATGGCTCTTTTATAAAGAAATCTAAATTTTGTAGGTAATCGTTTTCATCCTTTTCACAATTAGCCCTTATTGAATGACTTGTATTATAATTATTAAGTAATAAAGCTTTAAATGCCCCTTCAAATGAAATGGTATTGGGGGCAATGTTTCTGACACCACAACTCCTTATGCTTCCGAAAAAATTTTCGACTGGATCTTGATTTAAGTTTCTTGTCAGCAATGCATCTAAGCCGTATTTTTTTGAGATTATTTGCCAAATTGCTTCCACGCCTTCAATTGTTTTAATTAAATTCTTTATTGAAGGTACTATTTTTTCAAGTTGCAGAATTTTATTATTATCATTAAACTTTTTAACAATGAATTTAGCAGTACCTAAAATTTTTTTACTTTCTGCCCAAAGTTGATGATGCGGTGAATTATTTTTTATTGGACCCTTGTAGACTTTCCCATCTGTTATATATAAACTGCTTACATTTAGGGAGTCAAATAAATTATTTAATAATAATGTGATATCTATAAGTTGCCTACATTCTTCTGGAAGATCTCCCCTAGCAGTAAGGTGTTCAGTGACAACTGCAACACTATGACTGAAAATTTGTGTTGCAGTTTTCACCCTCATTTTATTTATTTTCTCTGGGATAACGTGTTCTTCAGTGATTTTATGAAGCAACCTAAGTTCTCCATATGACTTGTCTGCGCTATACACTTTTTGGTAATATTCCCATTTTACTGTCTTTTTATCATTATTTGTGACATAAATTAAATCTTTTGTAATAAGATTATTTCTTAATCCTTTCATTAAATGTGGAGTATCATATAAGGGAATGATTTTATGACCATTGACAAAAAAACAGTCATGCCGCCACTCTATTCCTTTTCGCAAATGTACCGCTTTCGATTTTTGTATTAAATCATTTATGCAACTAACATTTACGTTGCTTTGGTCACACACTGTGTTAATAATAATTAAACCAGCGTCTTGGGCGTGGCGGATGACTGTTAGTATCAATTTTTTTAATTCATATTTATTTAATGAATTCGTGAAATAATATGCTATGGGTTGCTTAAAGTTTTGAGTTATTCCTTTAACCATGAATACTAAGGCATGATCAGCAAACTTTTTATAATTATTTGTGGCAAATCCTTCAATTATGTCTTTATTATAATTGTAATTTAAATTTGGTGTTATTGACATTTCGTCGAATATTAAGCTACACAGTTTCTGTGAAGTAGTTTTTTCTGATACATTTTTTTTTATTTTATCAAATACAATAGGGTTTATCCCTGGGCCTATTATTATTTTACTTAAAAGCCGTTTCATACATTTGACTGATGGTAAGGTAAAATATTTTTGTAAAAGTGTGTAGCACTTGGGGCTTTTTTTATATAAAGATAAAGATAAAACTTTCTCTTGGAGAGTAAATCGTCTACCTTTAGCTTTTTTGTTACCCTGCAATTGCATATTGAGTAACAACTGGGACGGTTTGGACATCTTTTCTACCACTCGGCGAAATGCAACACTTTCCAGTAATTTGTTGCCATTGTTGAGTCTTATTTGGAACTTTCCATTCCTCTTCAATCGACAAATTTCACTGCGAAGCTGTTTGACCTCCCCACGCATGTAACTGATTTGCATGCAGTTGAAGCTGCTTTTTTTAGCAGCACCTTAAAAAAGAAAAAGAGCAAACATTAATTTGTGCAGTTGTGATAAGAAATTGCATTACACGGCTATATTTAACAACTGCCTAATGAAACCATTTTATAAGAGACTAACAGCCTGCTTGCATTTCATTCCAGGAATAAGATTACAGCCTTAACTATAATCATACAAAAATAATTTTCCAGATCCGACGTTCCAACCCAACTTCATCCATATGAGTTTCCACTTCCCTTGAGAATTTCGGGAGTCAAATATAGTTAGCTAACATCCGGTTTCAGAATTGAGAATTTAAAGTTAAGCAAATCTCAAACCATACTTAAACCATTTTAAACGTTACTGAAACAGGTTTCATTTCTATTTTTTTTTAATGATCATTTCATAGCAGCTTGATAAAACTAACATCCAGCTGCACAAACGTCCATTGAAATTGTCATTAGTTTCAAGCGACATTACCAATACAAATTTGACATTCATTAGAGCTTAAAGGCATAATTAAACCTAATGGACGTTTGTGCCTTATATCCTTTTTCCATATCCTTATATCCTTTTTCCACATGAACCATAAAAAACTTAAGTTATTGAGTTTTTGTACTTTTTTCAATTCAGAAACTGGCAGTAACTGTATGTATTAACACTAAGTGACAACATAGCATTTTTAATATCAGTTGAGTAATTTCGAAGATTACTTCATTCCTACCAATTCAATTGATCATTCACAAACATTATTTATCTCTATATAATATTATTAAATAGTCATTATTTAAAGAAAGACATAGGTATCACATATTATCTTAGCGTTTGGGAATCTAATTGAAAACATGTGTGAAAACATTTGTAAATACTATGTAGTGAATTTTATAAAATATAGTAACTACTACAAAGAACTGGATAACTTACGATTTATAGAATGACGTCTATAATTGCTAGCAGCACTATAATTGTGTTCACACCATACTTGCTGCAGTGTAGGTCCTTTTACTAAAAATAATAAAGAATACATTATCAATATGTATTAAGCAATTTACTTTTGTTAGTTGCTTTTGATTGGATCATAAATATATAATAACTAGTGTTGCCTGTTCCCATATTTCAGGCATAAATTCAAATCTCCCGCCGGGATCGAATCTGTCCCGTATATCAATTCGATTCCACAAATTGTGTTAAAGTGGATTGATATACACATGACTGACATGACATGCACGCCAGGTTACCACAATATGTCAAATTTCTTTAATGAGTTTTTAATTCATCTCTCGATGTATTAGGCTTAAAATCAAGTGAAGGTTTTAACAGACTTGAATACATATACATAAACAAAATAAATGTACCCCCAGATTAATAAAAAGCAATTTAATGATCATATTTAAGTATACTTATAGTTGTATCATAATTATACAGACCTGTCCGAGGCAGTTGAAGTAGCGAAGCTTCGGCAATAACATTACTAGAGCTTGCAGTTATACCTGTAAAATAATACCATTACATAAAAGTTGTTTGTTGGCTGTATTATTTGTTTTAATATAACGTCCGTCTGCTACTAACATATGATAAGTTATTACATTCCATTTAATTCATTATCTGGTGATAAGTCTGAATTGGATCTCACATGTAAGAAAAAGTAAAGGCACAGCTAAAGCATACAATCATTTAAATAGATTGCAACCCTTGTCTATGTAATTTGAGCAATGAATAATAAATTAATAAATTTGGTTTGATAAGAGTTTGACATAAAAATACATGTTGTGTTAATTATCATCTTATAGGAATTTTTGAAATAAGATACTGGCAGACTATATCCTTCCTTATGAATGTATGTTAATCAATATATGTAAAATATAAGTGGTAGATCTAGAGTTTCAAAAAACTGTTTAGCTTTTTATATTAATAATCAATATAGATCACTAAAGTTAATTTTGATATAATATGGAATAATTCTTACAGACCTGTCTGAGGCAGTTGCAGTAGTGAAGCTTGTTCAGGATTATGGCCAGCTTCGGTATCATTGTTAGAGCTTTCAAGCATACCTATAAAATAACAACATTATATAAACAATATCTCTATTATACTATAAAACTTTTCGTTAGTAGCAGTAGTAATTGTTTTAGCCTAAATTCCACCTGCAAGTGTTTATATCTCAGGAACAATAATGTTTGTTATATATATTATGCAAGATATAAGTGGTAGATCTAGAGTTTCAAAAAACTGTTTAGCTTTTTAATATTATTAATCAATATAGATCACTTAAGTTAATTTTGATATAATATGGAATAATTCTTACAGACCTGTCTGAGGCAGTTGCAGTAGTGAAGCTTGTTCAGGATTATGGCCAGCTTCGGTATCATTGTTAGAGCTTTCAAGCATACCTATAAAATAACAACATTATATAAACAATATCTCTATTATACTATAAAACTTTTCGTTAGTAGCAGTAGTAATTGTTTTAGCCTAAATTCCACCTGCAAGTGTTTATATCTCAGGAACAATAATGTTTGTTATATATATTATGCAAGATATAAGTGGTAGATCTAGAGTTTCAAAAAACTGTTTAGCTTTTTAATATTATTAATCAATATAGATCACTTAAGTTAATTTTGATATAATATGGAATAATTCTTACAGACCTGTCTGAGGCAGTTGCAGTAGTGAAGCTTGTTCAGGATTATGGCCAGCTTCGGTATCATTGTTAGAGCTTTCAAGCATACCTATAAAATAACAACATTATGTAGAACAATATCTCTATTATACTATAAAACTTTTAGTTAATAGCAGTAGTAATTGTTTTAGCCTAAATTCCACCTGCAAGTGTTTATATCTCAGGAACAATAATGTTTGTTATATATATTATATATGATTAAATTTATTATGGTAATAAATTAGGTCTTACCTGTTAAAAATAAAGAAGGCACAGCTAAAGCATTAAGTCGTTTAAAACGATTACGATCCTTGTCTATGAAATGCTTATCACAAACAATTTTCTTTTTATACAATTCATAATCAGATTCAGATTCCAGTTTCCCACCACAAAGGTTGACCCATTTTTTAAAACGGTCAGGATATTTTTCTGGATTTGGAAAGTGATGTACAGTAACACCTGAAAATTTTTTTAACTTAAATTATTTAATAGGACAGTACAGCAATCAATAATTTCTAATTATTATAAATCACAATGGGGATGATGACTAATTTTTGTTTGTTTTGTCGTCATGTAGATTAAAAATAATAAACTTAAATGGATTTGTATATGTGATTTCTTGTTAAATTGAAACAAAAAGAAATTTATCTAATATTTTTCTATTATCTGACTGACGGACTAAATAGAGAGATAAAGAGTAATCACTATATAAAGTTGAAAGTTCTGTGAAAACACAAGAGTATTTTTCTTAGTTTTTTATTTTGTGGTCCATACATTCAACAAAGTGTGAAGTATGATACGAACTGTTGTTAAAATTTACTTACCAGAAAGTTGTCTACATCCAAAGGCACAAAGGCGAGGCATGTTGATAATATTGTACTTCATTATATCATAAAACTTTCAAAGCGTCCAATATCGCACAGATGAACCGGAGTACCAGGATCAACAACACAAAAATAGCGTCCAATATCGCAAAATTGCGGAGTTAAGGACACTCAACGCTTTCCCTATATATTATACTACTCCTTGCTCAACGCAAAACAGCACAAACACAAAAATAGCGTCGAACATCGCAATAGTACTGCGGAGTTCTATACTGTTCTATACACTTAACACAAACAATAAAGTAGCGTCCAATATCGCGATTAAGATGCGGAGTACACAGGCTCAACGCAACACACAACATAAAACAAATAGAAAAGAAGAAATTGCCAAGATATCACAGCAAAAGCAATCTTTGAAAAAATCAAACTTGAATCAAACGGTTGGAAATAAATGACCATAGAGAACTGTAAATATGACAAACTATAGTAATCATTGCCAGGTTATTATGTTTTTTTTTCATAAATGACTATCGTTAATTTTTCTTAAATAAATCATTTTTATTTATTACTTAATTTCTGCATTTTGAAACAAATTATAATTTGTTATATAAAATTACAACCAACTGGCAACTTTTAAATAAAGTTTTCTAGTGTCGCCCTCTTCTGACTACTTTAGAAATTAAATTTAGTAAGTAACTTCGGGGACGTATAGTAGATGGCAGAGCAATGTATGCAGTTTGACAGTTTCATAGAACTGTCCCCCCCCTGGTTTCAGTTTAGTAAACGTTCGTTTGATAATTGACGATAGCGGAATGCAAATTTACAGCAACAATCGAAACGTAACCGTTACAGAAACGCTATTGATGATCGATCGTTGTAAATTAGTAGAATTGGCCCCCAGGTCATTACGCATCTACATTTATGAGTTTAATAACGAGTTTAATAGAAAACTAATTGTTCCTGTGGTAATCATACGTCTAGATCGATTTTTTGCTCCCAAAATTCCCATAAACCATTGACGTAGTGTTGCTGGCACAACACAAGTTACATAAAGAAAAAAAATGTAATATTTTCGACACACAATTGTTTTTCATCTATGTTCTGCATGTCAAGGAATAAAAGCCCATTATATTTTTTCTATCTGTTTTTCAATAACTAAATCATTTTATAGCAATAATCTATAGTCCACCTAAGAATCATACACGTAGTACATACTGTTGACATAGTTTTAGTAATTTTAGTGTAATTATATTCAGTTATTGTATCGAATTGATCGTCTTTGTTGGAAATTACATAAAGTTTCTTTTATTATAAATTCTTTTTTGTTAATTTTTTTTTAAATTAGTGACTAATAAATTCGTCACGAAATCTTCGATTCAATATTCATATTTTATTTTATATTACCCTTAATTTTGTATTATTTGATATTATATACTTCGCCGATAATGGGTAAACGTGGAAAATGGGACAAAGGAATACAAAAATATGACTAATTTACAATTTCTCATAACTCAACAATAGTTTTTGTGTCAAAGGCAAAGGGATTTTTCTAGAATGCTCCATCATTACTTTCGCATTATATTTATTGATTGGGAAAACATTTTCAAAATATAATAGCATTCGCCCACATTTCTCTAGAAATCATTATATCGTATATGAGAATATGAGCGAATCATGTCTTCTTTTTTGTTAAGAGAAACTTATACTCATTAAATATGCCAATTAAGAAAAAAGTAAAGGATTTTCTCGCGCCAAAAGCCTTTGTGTGCGAACTGTTAATAATTGTCCGCGCAGCTGAATTCCCCCTGGGACTTGCCGGGCGGCTATTATAAATAGCGCGGTATCTACAGGAGTCCTGCACAATTTCCCATCGGCTTGCCGCAGCCTCCAGTCAGCCAGCAACTGCAGTAGCGTGTAGACGTCTCCACTAACCGTTAATAACAATGGCCCGATACTCAGAATCCACTTCCGTCGTAATACCCGAATCATCAGGTAATTTAAATAAAATAAAAAAACTATTTTAACTTCGCGTAATACTCCCAACCCACCTTACTTTTCCCACGTTGAATATTTAAACAAAGCAGTCAACGGCACAGATGTGACAGAGGGCAAGCGGCAGTAAACAACCACCCGTTCATGTTGCGAGTTGTTTCTAACGGTGTATATGAGTATGATGGTGGAAATGTCCAGTCGTCAGCATTTGTATCCGACGATCACATCCAGTAAGAACTTTTTCGAAAGTTTCGCCGCGGCCTCTGTTCCAATTTCGAACGAAAAGTTTTGTTTCTAAATAGTTTCTATTTGTTTTTTCTTTATTTTTAAATAAATTTGGTATCGGAGTCTGATTTTTATTCTTTTGTTTTAGCGAATGATGACAATGATTCCGAATCCAAAAATTGCGGCAAGATATTGGTGGTGTTAGCTTGGATCTTGGTCATTGTCACGATGCCTTTGTCTTTATTCGTGTGCTTTAAGGTAAGTTTAAATGTTTTTTTTTTTATTTATGCTGCTGCTGCTATTTTCTCTCTTTAATTTTGTCTTTACTGTTTCTACTTTATGTTCACAAAGCGAAATTTTCTTTTCGATTTTATTTATTCTAAATATGTACCTATTCTTAATAAATCCCATATCAAAGAGACAAAGGGATTTATTTAACATTTTCCATTAAATTATTTTTCAATATAGCATTTTGAATGCAAAATTGATCAAATATAATATGTATGCATAAAATTTCATTTATTTTTACCGTTTTAATTTTATACGCCGAGAATGATGGCGCTCTATAAGAAAAAATATTATTATCAACAAAATGCTCTATAGAAAAATACTTAATAAAGCATTTTGCTATAATTTAAATGAAAGAAATGCATTCACAATGCGGCAAATGCATGATTTAAGAAAAAAAAAACATAATAATTTATAAACTATTATTTCAATTTTGTTTATATAGAATTTGTTGCCGAGCGAAGATAATATTTAAAAATCTATTATGTTTTCTTTCTAATCTATTATGTAGTTGCCTCACTAAAAGCCTTCATTTTTCGTATATATATCGGAACAAAGTTACTCGTTATTTTTTATTTCGTATTTGAATCAACCCGGAAGAGGAGCACGGATTAATTATTTTTATTTTAAAATCGTATATGACCACATTTTTTTATTAATTTGGAACTTGAAAATTATTGAGCTAAGGACCTTAAGGCGTACTCTGTTTCTCCGAAAACGAAAATTAATCTATTTTCGAAACCCTAATACGACTCTAAAGGAACACATTTTTAGATAATTAATAATGAAACGGAGGTAGGACCCTGACACTACTTCTGATGCACAGACAATATTGGCGTATGTAATTTTTAAAAAATCATAAGAACGATTCGAAATTTTTGTAATTTTCGTTCAAAGACAAACAGAGTAGACCCTCTTATTCAAACGTATTTTATGCGAATTTATTTATATATATTATATATTTAAAACCACCATAAATATTTATTGCACTGAACTTAAGCACTCATTTTTATTACTCCGATATTAACCTACACGTCTGCAAATTCAAGTCATTGCAATTTCTAAGATCTCGGGTGCGATTCCCTGTCCAGTCAATGAAGAAATTTAAGTCCACGTTTTCTAGGGTCTGGGTTTCGGAGTACCTCCTGTATTTTTATTTATAATGCAAGTTTTTCCTACTTCATTTGGGATATGGGTAGTAATGTATCCTCTGTAAATCTTAATACTGGTACTTCAGGATATAAGATACAGCCTGTCTCATTTGATAAGCGTAGGCGTTGTTGGCAAATCGCTTTGAATAAATCGGAATTAATAAAAGCTGTTCTACCTATATTTTCTTTAATTTTTTTCAATATATCAACTCAACAATACAGCATATCTAAATAAGCACCGAACAATAAAACAACAACTTTCTAAAATATATTCTTAATTTTATCGATAATATCACGGATTGTATTCACATAAAAAAATATTACGTCAAATCACATTTATAAACGTATATTTACATCAAAGTTATTGTTGTAAGTGACTTAAACTTTGTGACATCGCCAGTACAAACTTCGTAGGACTAATAAGTTCATAGCATTCGTAGAATAGTAAACTTTGTAGTTCCGTAACTACGCGGAGCGCTGCTACGAACATGATAACTTTGGCTACGAACTTGTGTTCTCAACTCGGACTTAACACCTATTAACCCTGATATATGTTTGAAAAATATACACTGCTGAGCGTAAGACGACCTTGACTTTACACGAATTAATGTAAAGGTTACATATTCTTTAAGTTTAAGCAACCGCAAAATTGAGATATTTTTTAATATAATTTCAATATTAAGGTCCACTGCTTATGCTTCAATCACCCTGCACAGCCCTTTGTAATATTGCACTTTTATATAAAAGCACTCACCAATTCAAAAATTTTACCAAGTATTGATTTTTTATATATATAACTTTTCTAAGTAATTCCAAAATATGGAGAAACATATTAGAATTAAATCCAAAATATTGCAGAAAAGTAATGTTTTCAAATAAATTCTCATAATCTGATTACAGATCAGAATTATCAATTATAATCAGATTTTAAATTATAATTACAAAAAGATCTGATTACATTATTATTCTACTTTCTTTCTTGATTGTGATTAATTCTTTATTACACAAATAAATATTATTTATCATAATATTAAAAAAAATACTTTAATGATTAATCGAGACCTTTGCTGCTTCGTTATGCTTGGTACCGCCTTCTCTAAGAAATGGATAAAATATAAAATAAAAAAGAATATATATTATTTTTCAAGATAAAATACTGATTTTGATCCTCAATAACCTATTAATATCTCCACTGCATATTAATGTCGGTACAGGCCTCCCCTGCAGAGGTTGGCAACAAGGGGTTTACGTCTCTTTCGAAGAACGGAGGCGCTTCAGACAGCCAATGTTAATTAATCCACTCTATAAACGGCTCTCAAAAGAGTCTTAACTTCCTCATCGAGCACTCCAATAGCAAAGAAGATGTTTGTTATAGAATAAAATG